ATACCAGAGCAGCAAAGCCATAGTCGCATGGACTGGACAAGCCTACCAAGAACCCTGGTTAATTACTTGGATGGCTAGCCCATGCTGATGTCTGTTCTACCTCAGCTTCATTGCTCCAGTACCCAGTCTAGCTAGATTCAAGCTAGCCTGGGTATGTCTACTTGAGGTGAAATCATGCTGCAGTGTAGAGATCAGTACGATACTGAACTAGATGGACCGTGGGTTTGATCGAGTCTGGCAATTCCTATGTTTTTTTTCCCCCATCCCACCTTTGCACCTCATGAGTTCCCTGCCTCTGTTTACAGACTCTTTCAGGTTCATCCCGAGACCCAGGAACGCTTTGCCAAGTTCAAAAACCTGAAGACAATCGATGAGCTGAAGAGCTCCGAAGAAGTGAAGAAACACGGCACCACCGTCCTTACCGCCCTGGGCAGAATCCTGAAGCTGAAGAACAATCATGAACCGGAGCTGAAGCCGCTGGCAGAGAGCCATGCCACCAAGCATAAAATCCCTGTCAAGTACTTGGAGGTATGGGAGTTGGAGAGGGTTCCTTGGGTGAGAGGGGGTTCAGTGTGTGTGGAGAATATGGGCTTGAGTGGGAGGGTGAGTTGCACCTCTGTTCACTGATGTCTAGTTGGACTTGTATGAGCTCTGTGATATGTAGGAGACCACTGTAATATTGGGAGTCTCAGCTCCTGGTATGTGAGTCCCCGTGTTTACATTGCTCACATGCAACTCTTAACAATAACAAACCAGTGGGTGCAGCACCAGCATCCGTGGGAAACCAGATCATATTAGAATCTAGTGAGTGACAGCACCCAAGGGACTTCTTTGTATTACAGCAGCACCTGGAGGCCCCAGTGAAGATCGGGGATCTATTGCGCTAGGCACTATACAAATGCAGAGGGAGAGTTTACAGTGTAAATGGACAAGGCAGGCAAAGGATGGGAGGGGAAGTGACTTTCCTAGGATCACGACAGATCCAGGAGAGAGCCAGGACAGATCCAGGACTAGAACCC